GCCGACATGCTTGCTGTAGGTAATAAAAAAAACAGAAAAAATGAAGCCAACAGCACGTGGTGTTCCCAAGCGGTCACCCATCCAAGTGAGTGTGTATCAGATATACGTTGACGTCGATCAAACAGATGGTAGTATACAGTGAGGGAAGTTATATCAGATCTTGCATGAATTCAAAATTCCACCTCAATTAATTAGGCTTATAAAAGCAACCATGACAGACATGGAAGGACAAGTGAGAATTACATCAGTGCTGACAAACCCTTTCAAAATTTGGCAGGGCCTGAAGCAGGGAGATGGTTTGGCCCCAATGATCTTCAATCTGGCTTTGGAGTATGTCATCAGAAAGCTGCAACACTACAATATAAATCAGTTCAGATACTTGGATATGCCTATGATATAGGAATCTTGGCAAGATCCTTACCATCCAGTGTGCAATCATTGAGAGAGATTCATACATCCGCTAAAGAAGTAGGACTGACCATAACCTTTAAGAAAACCAAGGCCCTAATATTGGACCAGAAAGGACACCTGAAGCGTTGGGCTACGGGACGTGGCTGCTAGAGCCGTGTCGTCCGCGTACTGTGCTAACTCGACGTGGCGGGACTGAGTGGGTATGTCGTTGACATACAGACTGAAGAGCACAGGGGAGAGAAGTCCGCCCTGCACAACTCCAGACCGCATGGCTCGACGTGTGGACGTGGCCGACTGGAAGGACGTCTGGAATGTCCGGTCAGCGAGGTAGGAAGAGATGGTTTTCACCAAGTACGACGGGAAGTTGAGGACGGTCAGTTTGTATAGGAGGCCTTGGACCCAGACTGTGTCGAAGGCTTTGGCCACGTCCAGGAAAACCGCGCCGGTTAGCCGCTTCTCATCAAGGTTTCTGTTGACCCTTTCGACGAGGCGAGCCAGCTGTAACGATGTGCTGTGTCTGGGTCGAAACCCAAACTGCTCATCGCGCAGCAGCCCGCGTTCGCTGACCTCGTGTAGGACCCTCGTTAGAAGGATCTTCTCGCAGAGCTTGCCGACCGTGTCGAGAAGACTGATGGGTCTATAGGAAGAAGGTAGCGTGGGGTCCTTCCCCGGTTTCAGTATGGACACCACGCGAGCGTGTTTCCATGCCGAGGGGAAGTGCTGCCTGCGGAGGACCGCGTTGAACACTTTCGTGAGAAAGGTTACCGCGCGTCGTGGGAGATGCCTCAGGACCCTGTTCGGTATACCGTTGGGGCCCGGAGCCTTGCCAGGTCCTTGGGCAGATCGGAAATGTAGGCCTTAAGTAAGGCCATTTCATCTCCCATCTGCTCTAGCCCGACCAAATGCAGACAATCATGTTGCCTCCAATCCCCTGACCGATTCTCCACGCCAATACCGACGTACCACTGCCCTAATTGCTCAACTAATCCAAGCGGCCTATGCTCCCCCAGCCCAGCCCGATGAGTTCGGTGGCTATGCTCGTGCTGAGTACGGGGACGATGCTGCTTTGATAGGCGAAGTTTGGCCCTGTCCTCTACTGAGTACAGCTAACATGACCCCAGAACACGCGATGTCACTTTTGTATGTGTTTGCTGCGCATCATAACATCTCTTATCCAGGATTAAGCATGCTTACCATGTCATATGTTGCCATTCTAAAGTGAGGAAATGTTACTGAATATATGATGTTTTTAATCACTCGCAAAAAAGCCACGTATCCTGGCCACTAGACAGTTTCTGGGATCCCTTTCTTTTTTGTGTTCGATTTAAAACGTCTAGTTTTCGGTAACATCTGCATATTTCGAGGGTGTTTCGGTAGGGTTGTAACAGTGACTTGTCGTGGGAAAAGAGGTAAAGGCTTGGGAGAACGAGGAGCGAAACGTCACAGGAAGGTGTTGCGGAATAATGTTCAAGGTAAAACGAAACCTGCAATAAGGAGTTGGGTTTGTAGAGGCGGTGTGAAACGAATCTCTCGTCTGATTTATGAAGAGTTTGGTTGCATTGTAAAGGTTCTTTCAGAAAAATATAATTAGTGATGCTGTAACATACACCGAACATGCTAAAAGGATTACTGTGAGTGCAATGGATGTAGTTTATACTTTGAAACGGCAAGGTCGTAAGTTGTATGGTTGTGGAGGTTAAGTTTGGAAATGTAGAACAAGCTAAAAAAGCAGCCCCTTTCAGGGCCTAATTTATTTTCCAATGGTGAAGTTTATCGATTCGATGTATTTAATTTTTCGATTCTTTTGTGCCCCCTGATTTTCAATGTTGAAAGTTAGGTGTAGGCGGTCTACAATTGTTTGACAGAACTAGCGTCCTATACACTTCACATTCTGTAGATACACAAGTTAACTCCATTTTCTCTTCTGGTCTTTGTTTGTTTTACTCAATTTATTTCCTCCTTTCACACAATTGTACTTTTCTTAATGACTGCCTACAAATTTAATACATACAATACATTGTACTCTCCAGCAGTGGTGGTAACCTGGAGTACGCGTGTCCCTGGGGGTATGTGAAATATAAAAAATATATATAAAATATATATAATAATATAATTTAATTTACATGTAGATTATATACTATGTATAACTTGATTTTTACACCAACAATTTTGGTTGTACAAAGTTGAAGAGAAATTATATCTGGGGTTACGCGAACAAAAAAGTTTAAATACCACTGCTCTGCAGGACAAAGTTTGATTATTTTGTTTGATCTTGCTTCAAAACTTAACATGCGTAAATTTTAGGATATTAAATTTGCTTAAAATATTGGACTTCAATCTCCATTATCTTAAGTTAATATATTCAATGTGTTTAGAGTGATTCAGTAGTAACAAAAATGAAGTTTCCTAGCCCATCGCTCTGACGAAACTGGGACGATTTTTGTAATTTTGTCTTCCATTTGGTAAATATGCTTCTGAGAGTTGATGAAACGTGGTTAGCCACTTGCCGTACTGTCACAGAGAATTGATGGCAATGGCTAATATTGCCACTCACTGACCCTACAGGAAATTCTTTGAAAAGTCTATTGTTATTCGATTCGTCGAAGAATAGCTTACTTTCTTCATGGAACCCGAAGGTTCATCACCGTGTTCACAAAAGCCCGCCGGTCTCCATATTGAGCCAGCTGCTTCCATTTCGCTCCCTCGATTCCTTCCAATTCTCTTTTTCCTTCCAATCTCTACAAGGTCCATTTTAACATTATCTTCCCATCAACGCCTAGGTCTTCCCGGGAGTCTCCTCCCTTCAGGCCCTCAAACCAGTATCTTGTAAACTTCCTTCAACGCCGCCATGCTTGCCCAACGCCACACCCACCTCATCCTCCACGATCGCCCTGACAATATCAGGCGAGGATTACATGCCCTGAAGATCAACATTAAGCATTTTACTCCTTGATCTATCTTTCTCCCTTTTAGGTCCTAGTATGCAGCTCAATCTATGTTCCTCCGTCAAGGTGAAGGACCAAGTTTCACACCCATACAGCACAAGTGGCAACCTCTCATCCTATAAACTTATTAAGTAAGAAACTTCAATATGCCAATACCAGATGTCAGATACTCAAACAATTAAAGTTTGCGCCCCATGACAATTACAATATTCATCTAATACTTATATCTCGGTCTAAATTTTCTAAAGTCTCTCAAATTCGTATCAGTAGGTAGATATTGGCTTTCTAGCTATTAATCATAACAGAACTCATACTCCGACAAATACATTTTTCCCATAATTTATTAGGGGCATAGCGTTAGGTCGCTTTTAACATAAGGTTTCCGAACTTGGTGTTTCTCGTGCACTTTCGATTCTCTGTTCTCCAAATGCGACAAACTATGTAAAATACAGAAGTAAAAGCAACTATTAGTGCGTGATACGACATTTTCTAATCTAAATAAACCACTGGGAACCGATCCTCAAAATAGAAAGTGCCAAATAAACTACTGTTGAAAAAGTAAAAGCCCCTTAATGAGAATCCGTGGTGATTACAAATTATTGCAAATCATCAGCTGTATATCATAAAGTGAAAACAGATGTACCGATAAAGTATTACACACACGCACACACACGTCACATAAAGCCTCATAAAATTAACAATATCCCGGCGAAACGCCTTCTCATCCCAATTTAAATAATACCCTAAATCTTATTCACTTTGGCTAATTATTTACAGTTTTTTAACTTTGAGATTAAACTACAAAAAAAAAGCATTTGCTTTTGCCTAGGTGTTGATGTAGCCGAGCGCTGTCACACGATACGACCGGTTGTTTCCGGATTGCGGTAGAAGTTTCATGATATGGAAAAAAATTAATAAGAAATTAAAGTTCTTATCGATAAGGAAGAATGATCTGCAACATATATCTTTCAGTGCTAAAAGGATTGTGGTTTGTGATGAAATTATAGAGGTTGGTAAGGAGTGAGAACGGGTGATAAAAATTGTTAAATAGTGAACAGTTGGGGAAGCAAAACCTACAATGGGAAGTAAGAGGGAATTGAGAGTGCGTTGCGGAATGATTTGTTCAACAAATAGTCGAAATTAGGGCTTGGACAAACGATCTTCAAAAGGTCCTAAAGTTGTCCATTGATGCAGATGACACCAAAATATGTTCGATGCAGGCCTGCATTCACACGTCTTCCGAGACTCCGCAGTTCATGAGAGGGAGTACATTTTTGGTGTGAATACAGAGGAAGGATGGACGTAACTGTCACCAGATTTGCATCATTGTATGGGGATTTTTGCTGCCCTAGGACGGATTCAAATCGCAGGGTGTCATACCCCAGGTGCGTGTGCAGAGATTGATTCGGAGCGCCCTGTAGCAGGCAAAATGGCCATTGGATCAAATCTGTTGATTAGAGGCGATTCCAGAATCTTTGTTTAACCTCAAGGAATAGGATATAAAGCTCATTTAACAAGGATGACATTAGAACAAGTTAAAAACTCATCTCAGGAAACACGTCAGTGTGTTCTAGTATGCGAACACCATGTTGCGTTCTCTGCGCGGTACGACCCCATGTATAGTGGATAGATCTTGGCAAAATTTTGAGTCACCTCTTCTCATCGTTTGATTTGTACTGTTAACGATGGCGGATACTGCGGTAGCAACAGCTCCAAGTGCAACACCAGCGCAGGCTTCTCCAAAGAAAACGAAGTCTACTAAGAAGCCGCGTGCTAAGCAAGTTCATCCTAGAACGTCTGAAATGGTGAGCAATGCCATTAAAAGCTTGAAGGAGCGTGGTGGGTCGTCGCTCCAGGCTATAAAGAAGTATATTGCTGCGAATTACAAGGTCGACTGTGAGAAATTGGCGCCGTTTATCAAAAAGTATCTGAAGGCTGCAGTTGCGTCTGGCGAGTTAGTGCAGACGAAAGGCAAGGGAGCGTCTGGTTCGTTCAAGTTGTCTTCTACTGGTGCACCCGAGAAGGCGGTAGTTCCTGCGCCGCCTGCTCCTTCTCGTGTCAGGGGGTCTTCTACTTCTGCCGCAAAGCTGAAGAAGAAACAGCAACAAGCGAAGGCTAAATCCCCGAAAAAGGCTCCTGAGAAAAGGAAGCAGGCACCAGCTCCGAAGCCAAAGAAGTCCCCATCGAAGGCTAAGAGGGCAACGAAAGTGCCCACCAAGAAGCCTAAAGCACCACGACCCAAGACTGCTGCGAAGACGAAGGCGCCAAAGAAGGGAAGTCCTAAGAAGAAGTGAAGTGTTTTAAGTATCTGAAGTCGGGGAAGGGAAAATCGGCCCTTTTCAGGGCCAACAATTCTTCAAAGAGGTGGTAGTTGCACGTTATCTGTTGACAGTAAATTGTTTTGAGCAGTGTAACTGCCTACAACTTTTTGAAATTGTATCTCTTGCCCGTAACCTACTTTCAAACGCAAATTATAGTTTTACGAAATTGAACTTGGTCTTAGGTGAAGCGCATTACTGCTAACCGGGAAGACAATCTGCTAATATTTTTATTATATTTCTCCTATATGGAAGTTCTGATCGAAATTCATATACTCTGGTTGCATTGTGTTATTTCTGTACATGCCCTGCTTTTTGAGATGCATCCTCTGGATGGGTAGCAAAATTCGCGACTGATAATCTTTATTATTTCTTCACATTACTTTTTCATATTGACCTCCGTCTTCAAATGCCATACTTCTCTGTATTGAGCGCAAGCAATATGCGTACCACATTTCTATGTTCTGTAAGTAGTAAATATTTTAGGTTTGGAACACGTTTGATAAATTCATTTGCAATATTGGTAGCATGAATATGAAACTACTAGGCCTGTTTTATAACTATTTTTGCACCAAGATGAACAGGAAATGTTACAAATTATAAGCAAAGTAGATATACTGTTTACAGAAGTCTATACATGCAACTAAGTAACAGGGCAATATAGAATAAGTTCTATATTTCCATATAATGAAATTCTATGGACAACAGCAGTTACAGAATGTTTTCCGTACAGTGAATTCGATGGGAAGAACGGATGCTGCAAAATGTTTCAAAACGCCATTCTACTGTGGGGCAGATATCAGTATAGACTAAAATGTTTGTTTTCCCCCAGAAAGGGTTTTTGGGAGTAAGAGGGATACAGGTATGTTACCTCTCAATCTAGATTATGTTTGAGGTCAAATTAAAGTTAAGAACAAGAAAAAGTGATTATACGTATTGCGAGGGCGGAAAATGTATATACTGCCTATTCCAGAGGTATTAAAATGATTTCAGTGTATAAAATTTTTAGGCTGTACGTTTAGTACGTTATGTCCTGAACCATTGGGCATTGTCCTTGTTTTGTTCTAAAAACACAGGCCGATGGCAGGGTGTCCTGCAACTGCGATCGAGGCGCCGGGCCATGGACCAGGACGGTGACCGTCCCCTTACGCCACACTTCATCGTGTCGGTAGCACGGTGCCCCGACGTGGCGAAAGTGCGTTCCCTTATCGAGCGGGGTGGGGGGGGGGGGGGGGGGGGGTTAATCACACTGCGAACTAGAGGTTGCAGTACGTGGAAGGAAGCCAAAGCGGCCGCTGCACAGCGTGCGAAAGGGGATCGCGGCAGAAAGGACGGCGTCTCCACGCGCCCGCCAGCTAGGCCTTCCCTCGAACAGGAGAACTTGGGCCCTGGGTGGAACCACGTGGTCCGTGGTGGCCGCGGCTATGAAGAACCCCGCCCCAACGCCATTGCACGGACTAAGCGGCAGGCTGTAGCCAAGCCGCTCGTCCTGTGGTGCCGGTGGCAAATCCCACTGCACCTACTGCCAAGAAGACTGACCCCACCACACCCAAGGGTCAGTCACCGCTCCAGGACATCTCAGATGTAGATGTCCATTTCAGATGTAGATGTCCTGGGGCGTCTGAATATTATTTATGAATTCAGTCCAAACCGCGAAGAAAACACTACACCTCACCATTACGAAAATCAGCTGGTTAAAGCGTGCATATAATAGTATTGAGTGATTAGCCCACTGACTGCACAATTACTATTCACTCCTGATTTAACTACCAGAGCCATCTATCAGAGAAGCAGTGTATCAGGAGAGACTTGTGTGACAAATGAACGCTGAATTTTGCTTACGAAACTTCTCGTATCGTGCTAGCAAGGTTCTTTTACATGTCGTGAATCTACGACATGGGTCCTACAGCTTTACTTCCCCTCCGAAGGAAGTTTTGTGTTACGGATTTTTATCACCCTTAAAAAATCCATCGACCTCGGCCTGGATTGAACCCGCGAACCTTGCTATGTGTAATTTCAGCTCCGTATATTTGACAAATTATATTCAACACGCAACTCAATAATATTGTCAAAAACCGCCTTCCGGCCGAAATATGAGCAATCACTATTCATTCCAACACAATCATCACATCACAGAAGTGATACCATCTTCATGATAGTATACGGCCTACAATGCTGCCACACCTGAGTGTAGAATCCAGGAAGTGTCTTCTATCTACTGACATCTACATTCAATACAATACCAAAAAAAACTAGCAAATCTAAAAAAAAAAAATTAATCTACCTCGAACATATGAGACGTCTGTTACAAGTTTATCGATTAGTCAAGACTAAACAGTCTCTAACTTGAAAACATTTTGATGTCAAACCCCTGCAAATATCAGCAAGAAATACTTGAATAATTGCCTGAGGTGACACAAAAGGCGGCACATGCCAGTCGCGTTTTTGTAAATTAAGCCAAACACACATTTCACTTCGTTACGGCGAGCCAGCTTATCAATCTCTTTTCTGTAAAACTTTCATGTTCACTTCGTTTATCAAATGCCATGTCCAGTTATGACGCAATTCATATATAGACTGTAAGAAGATAATTGTGGTGTTCCTTATCGAGAAAACTGTTACGTACACAAGCAATACATTTTGTCTATACACAATAAAACCTTATTTTGTATGCAAAAAAATATGAAGCTTTAATGCAATGTTAGGTGTTACGAGTTTTATGAATGTAGAGCGCTTGATTACAAGATGACAAATGATGAAGAAATAGGTATCAGAGGACCATAATAGAGGATTAAATCAAGGAAAATTAAAATTTTGAGCGATAATAGTGAATAATTTGCAACGTACATCTAACATACATCTTTTGGTGCTAAATAAAAGAATGAGGACAGTGGTTTGAGATGAAAGTATGATGGGTGGCAAGAAGTAAGTACAGGGGTTTAAATTTTGCAATGATAAACAATTTCTGGAAGCAAAACCAACACTGGGGAGTGAGGAAGAAACGAGAAAGTGTTGAGGAATTATTTGTTCAACTGTTAGAAGAAATTATGACTTGGAGGAAAGTTGTTGAAATGAAGTGAAGTAGCTCAGTGTTGCAGATGAGACCAAAATATGTTCGACGCAGGCCTGTATTCTCACCTCTTCCCAGCCTCCGTACTTGAAGAGAGGATGTACATTTTTGGTGTGAATAAGTACCAAGGATTGGCCTAACTGTCACCAGATTTGTATCATTGTATGGGGTATCTTGCTGCCCTAGGACCCGTTCAAATTGTAGAGGGTCATACCCCGGCTGCGAATGCAGACATAGATTCGGGCCGTCCTGTAGCAGAGACTAAGGACATCGGATAAAATATGCTGATTAAGGGAGATTCCTGAAACATTGTTTGACCTAATGGAACACAAAATAAATGTAATTAACCAAGGAGAACATAAGAACGTGGTAGAAACCCATTCCAGGAAACACGGCAATGTCCTGTACTATGTGAACACCATGTTGCGTTCTCTCCGCGGTACGGTCTCATATGTAGTGGATGCTAGGAAAACAAAATTTTTTTGATCACCTCTTCTCATCTTGTGTGTGCACTACGACATCATGGCAGATACTGTGGCAGCACCTACTGCATCTGCTCCAGCTCAGGCTGTGCCCAAGAAATCCAAGTCTGTTGGGAAGAAGCCGCGAACGAAACCCGTTCACCCACGTACTTCTGAGATGGTTGTCAATGCCATCAAAAGTTTGAAGGAACGAGGTGGGTCGTCACTTCAGGCAATTAAGAAGTATATTGCAGCAAACTACAAGGTCGATTCTGAAAAGTTGGCGCCGTTTATCAAAAAGTATCTGAAAACAGCCGTAGCATCGGGAGAGCTTGTGCAGACCAAAGGCAAAGGAGCTTCTGGTTCGTTTAAGTTATCATCAGGTAAGCCCGAGAAGGCTCCGACAGTAGTCACTACTGCTCGCGGCAGGAGTTCTTCAACGTCTGCACTGAAGGAAAAGAAACAGCAGCAGCAAACTACAAAGGCAAAGCCGAAATCTCCGAAAAAAGCGCCGGTGAAGAAGACTCCTGAGAAAAAGAAGCAGGTTCCAGCGCCGAAGGCCAAGAAATTGCCATCTAAGGCTAAGAAAGCTACAAAAGTCCCTACCAAGAAGCCGAAAGCGCCGAGACCGAAGACTACTGCAAAATCCAAGGCATCGAAGAAGGCAGCTCCCAAGAGAAAATGAATCATAGCAGCCTGAAATCGAAAAATCGGCCCTTTTCAGGGCCAACACATTTTCTGTGAGAGTTGTAGTTTTGACCACATACCCAATGGTAGGTTCTTAGCAGGTGCCTTCAGTGGAAGCAACCATCTCTGGGTTCAGACCCCAGAGAACCTACCAAATTCCGTTACCTGAGGGGTCGACCTCAAGTTGAGGCTCCTGCCGTGACAAAACCCCTGATTGAGGTTGTCTGCATTCGGACGGATAGTTGTCCATGGAGAGTTGGTTGACTGGTAACCTGTCCACGGAGAGTTTATCCACGTTCCGCGACCCATGGAAGGGAACGAGCTGGCCTTTCTGAAGGCCCACCCCCTGAGCTGCTCCAGCAGGTCAGGAAGCAGTTCATAGATGCCATCACCGCAGACAAGAAGAGGCAGCAGCAGCCGTGGCCGGAGGGCCTACTCGAGCCAACGTCCAACTCGGGCGGTTCGTTGGAACCCTCATCTAGGCGCCCGGGCCCACTGTCCGGAGCCGGGTCCACTCCTCTGCCGGCACCGGCAAAAGTTCATCGGCCCGGCGGTAGCAGCATCATCCACCACCGCTTCCACGGGCGAACAAGCCACCTCGTGTGGCCGGCAACTCTGCAGCTATGCTGAGATCAGCGCGGCGTACACCGGGGTAGTGGCCAGGCGACTGCTGGGGTGGATTCCTCGGCACCGCTCCCCACTAAAGCCGGGGCGTCGCAAGAGGTTAAAGGAGAGAGGGACGTGAAGTCGTCCCGCGGACCTCACCCCGCCAAACGGGACAGTGAAGCCCTCAGCTAAGGGACCCGCTTCCTCGATGCAGGAGGCACTTGGGCGCAGGGCTTCCGGGCCGCTCACTGGCGTGTCATCTGACGCCGCTTCTTCCCACGCTCAAGTGGACAAAACGGCTCCGGGGGAGCGCCGTAACAAAACCCCGGTGTACGTCTCTGGGGTG